AAAGGTTTTTTTTAGTATTTACATAGCAAAAAACTGACACTCATTAAGCGTGTGCCAGCAAACTTGGGCTTTAAGGGCCCTCACAAGCAACAAAATTATTTTCTTAAAGATCCCGATTAAGGACTTCTTTATTTTTTTTGTTTTTTTTTTGTGAAAGGTTACTTCAGACTCCCAAAAGAAAGCTTTTTCGAAAATCCATGACTTTGCTTTTTAATGACCCTTTTTGAACGATTAAAATATAAAGTTCACTCAAAATGCTAACCTATCCGTTATTATTTTTCAAGGACTCTATTGTTTCGATATACTTTTTATTTCTAGAGAAAACAAAATGAACCTATCTCAAATTGTTACAGTAGTTGCTGAATCGCAATGAATTTTATTTGGACTTGATGATGATATAAATATGCTTATGGAATCAGACATTTCTACACTTTACGGACAACAAAGTCTCCAATACAGTTTTATTGCATTCTCGATTTTGCCTATTCCATCAGATTGTGAAACTCCCAGTGTTGAAGAGGTGCACTACGAGTAGAATTAACATCGTCTCGTCTGGTTCTGAACGTATCACAGAGGCTAATCCACTTGTTATTCATCGCTGGAAAGTCCCTTCTACCTTTGATAGCGTCACTGGCATTAAACGCATCCCCTGTTGCTTTGTTCAAGTTCCGCTTTGCTTGAGGTGAGCGAATAACAAACACGTTTACAACGTAATCGGAAAACAACTTGATCAAAACGTTGGTGCTTGCCGAATCCCGTATGACGAAGTTAATGGTAGTGTACTTTTGGCAAGGCATTTTGTTAAATAAAATTGGATAGTTAAAAATTGGTAAAGAAAAATGAAGAGGATCACAAACACAACTCTTTTATCAAAAAAACAAAAACAAAAAGATTGGTGAGTTCAGTAGCCCAATTTGGCTGATTGTTCATCTGATAGAAGGATTCTGGGGTCGTTGGATTTTAATCCTTTATTCGGATATTTCAAAAATTTTGGCACTGGAGTAAATACACAGGTTGCTGAAGCGAAGGATGAAGGAGTGGTACAAGCTCTCTGAGCCACGCTTTATTTTTATATATACCAGATCGCGGCCGCAGCCCACTTCGGTAATTTTTTGACCTTCGCTTCGCTCCGGTAAAAATAACCTACGTTCATGCTGGGGGCGATCTCGCGCCTGCAGCGGGCCACCGACGCCACTCAATGTTTATAAATAGGACAAAATTAGATTAAATTAGATTTTATTAATAATGAATAACCTAAGGATATTGACATGTCAGAAGCAGCAAAAAGGGTAGAAAGACCAACTGTTTACAACTATTATACAGATGAAGATCGATTGCGATATTTTTATTTCAATCAGGAAAAGCTCATGAAACCGTCTGAATCTGCCAAAGCCGCTAACGTCAACTATGAGACTGCAAGAAAGTGGAAACGTGCTTACAATCAAGATCCAGATAAGAACATTCCCTTTAAAAAAACGAATCGCACGTCAAACAGACCCGAAAGTAAGCTAAATGAACAACACAAAGCTTACCTTACGGACTTTTTTGACGAAAGCCCATCAGCTGTCATCCAAGATGTGGTGGAAAATCTGATCAAAAGCTTTGAAGGTCTGCAAATAAAGAAAAGTAGAGTTGCAGAGTTTATGAAAGAGGATTGCAACCTCAGTATCAAAATAGCCACCCGTCACCCTGTAGCCAGAAATAGCAAAAAACATTGGAGGCTCGTGCTAAATTTGTTGAGGAATGGCCTGCTAAAGGGAAGAATTTTATGAAAAATTTTGTCTTCCTTGATGAATCGGGTTTCGACATAAACATGCGCCGTTCAAGAGCTTGGTCACAACGAGGAATTGAGGCCGTTATTGAGTCACCCTCTGCGAGAGGGGTTTCGCATATGTAGCAAAAGTAGGCTTAAAAAGGATAGTTTTGCAGAAAAAAAAGGTAGAAAAAAACAATAGGATCAATTAGAATTCTTGTCAGAGTTTATTGATGTTAAAGTTAACTAAAGATTTAAGAAGAGGAAAAATAAAGAGTATTTGTCATAAATGGAATGGAGGAGGCTGAGGATACTACTCTTAACAATATAAGTATGCTATCAATAACAATATCTATATTGGAAAATTAGTGCTACGCATAGTCAATAGAGAAATAATAACAATAACATGTTTTGACTTTGGACATTGGTGTTACGATACCGTGACACTTTAAAATAGTGACCGGCTTTAGCGAATTCCTTTTTTATGCCTGATCATGATTTAGCTATCATTTATCAGTGATGATGAGATATGAATTTATTATATGTACAATCTATATGTGTGATTTAGCACAGCATACCGTAATCGGCGCGGTATCAGCATTTGGGGTTGTAAATCTGAGTATCAGGGATCCAGGTAACGTAAAAAGAAGAAAAGTGGTAGGAGCCACTAAGCGTAAGGTACCTGGTGATGCAGCATCAGTAATACCTAAAGGTACAACTGCTGGTCATTACCTTCAGTTTATAAGCGACACCTCGGATATCATGGACGAATTTCCAAATATGAAAGGATTTCACATTGTTATGGACAATGCCCCAATTCATAGTCATAGCCTTGTTGACCCTTTGATTGAAGAAAGAGGTTATGTACCCCTATACTTAACTCCTTATTTACCTGAGCTAAATCCTATTGAGATGTTTTGGAAAGTGTTAAAAGATAAGGTTAAACGTGGTAAACTTAGCAGTTTAGAGACTCTTACTATTAGAATAATTGAAGGCTGCCACGATGTTCCCATCGAACACATTCAAAATTTTATCCAGCATTCTATCAATACTTTTCCCAAATGTTTAAATAAAAAATTGTTATAAAAATTTAACCATTACTTTGGCCATTTTATTTCTAAGAAGTGGGCAAATTATTTTCGAAAAGGTGGGCAAATTAAGTTCAAACATTCGGGCAAAATGATTTTTTTTTCGAGCAATTTAACTTCACACAATTGGCCAATTTCTTTCAAAAAAGTGAGCGGACTTTTCAAACATTCGGTAAATTGAGAGTGGAAGCACAGTATTTTTTTCACTCAATGTTTTATGTACTGTGTAGGTTGGGACTTACAGCCCCTCCCAGCCCGCTCAATGCTAATCAATTTTTTTTTCACGGAATGTTTTATGTACTCTGCTGCTCGCGAATTACAGCTCCTCCCGGCTCATTCAATGCTAATCATTATTTTTTCACTCAATGGTTTGTGTACTGTGCTGGTCGGTACTTATAGCCCCTCCCAGCTCATTCAATGCTAACATTATTATTTAACTCAATGTTTTATGTACTGTGTTGGTCGGGACTTACAGCCCCTCCCAGCTCACTCAATGCTTATCAATTTTTTTTCACTCAATGTTTCATGTACTGTGTTGGTCTGGACTTACAGCACCTCCCAGCTCATTCAATGCTAATCATTATTATTTTCACTCAACATTTTAGGTACTGTGTTGGTCGGGACTTACAGCCCCTCCCAGCTCATTCAATGCGAATCATTATTTTTCTCATTCAATGTTTTGTGTACTGTGTTGGTCGGGACTTACAGCCCCTCCCAGCTCAGTAGGTGTTTATTATACTCATACATGTCTGTTGCTTCGAGCTGCGCTTCGCTTGGCCGCGCAAAAAAAAAAAAAAAAAAAAAAAAAAGAACAGTCCGAATTACTAAATATGGTATATACTGCATAGTCAAAACAATCATTAGGTCCTCTCAAGTTGAATTTTTTTTTTTTTTTTTGTCCAAATATAGGAGCGAACCAAAATTCATTTTTTGTGATATATTTGGATTTTTTATAAATTTTATTAAAAATAAAAGATGTCACATTTTTTAATAATTAAAAAATACTAAAAAGACCCCAGAGTGTATAAATGTACACGAAGTTCTCTTTTATTTACAATTACAATAAAATATCATTATAACATGGACATCGACAACTATAACAGTTTTGATAATTTGCAAGAGCAACTTTGGATGGTTTTATTTCAAGATATAGATGTGAACGAAGACCTGGATTTGGATTTGATTGATGAGGAAACGAACGAAATCGAAGACAACTTAGATATGGAAGATGATATCTGGATTGAAGACATGATTATCCACGGAAATGAAGTTATCGATGATATATTATTTTGTGAGGAAAATAGTACCACAGGTGCGCCATTAATCTATGACTTGTGCTGTCTTTGGGCAAGAACATCTAACTTGATGATGTCAACGTTGATCAACTACGACTTATTTTATTATATTTACAACTGTAGCCCCATCTTTATGAGCGGGGAACGGTCCCCTCGAGTTGTAAGATCTGCCCGGATGGACACTTACGAGCAATATTGGACTGTAAAACATCCCAATTTAAACGATGATCCTAAAAGTCGTAAAAGTTATAGAGCGCATTACCGAATCAACAAAAAAACTTTTCAATGGTTGGTCGCTCGTTTAAGCAACTCCTCTCATTATGCCGGATCAATTGTACAAGGAGGATATAGTGTAGAAATTCAGGTTGCTTGTGTTTTGTCGAGATTTGCGAATACACATTTTGGATACCGCATTGCAGAGGTTACTTTGGGTGTTTCAGCAGGATCATATAGAAATTTCACAGAAAGGTTTATTAATGCCATGGTAGATATGAGCAACGAAGTAATTTCTTGGCCCATCGGTAATTCTGCAAGAGCTCTCGAAAATTCTGAAGAGTTTTATGAACTGGGTGGACCCAATAACATGAGATTAAAAGGAATTCTCGGATGTATTGACGGTAAGCTTGTCACCATCCAGAAGCCATCAGTAAATGGAAATGCCCATGTGGATCGTAAGAACAACGCATCGATGAATTTAACTGCTGTGTGTGATGCAAGGTGCAGATTTATGTATGCAAAAACAGGGCATTCCGGTAAGTGTATGTCTTGAATAGACGTTCAGTGTCTTTGTTTTTGCCTACAGCTTTAACCAATACATATAAAGGACGAAACCATGATGCCAGGGTTTTTACAAGCAGTGTTCTATACCATAAAATGCTGACAGACGGTGCTCGATGGTGTCCTGAAAATACTTTCATTTTGGGAGGTGTGTATACGTTAGTCATATATAATACGTTTTCACTGATAAATGTCTCAATTGTAAAACCACCTTGTAGATTCAGCTTACCCTCTTCTCCCAAACTTGGTCACACCCTTTTCAACCAACGACAATTCTTTACAAGAGTACAAGGATTTTAATGCTGTTCTTTCTAGCTCAAGAATTAAAATTGAGCATGCATTTGGGGCCGTGACATCTAGATGGAGATTTTTATGGCAACATCTTTACATGCTTGACATCAAGCGAATAGCAAAAACAATTCTGGCTTGTTGTGTTTTGCACAATGTGTGTATTGACCAGTGTGACATCGAAGAATCTTTTGAAGCTGGTAATTTGGAATATGCTGGGTTTATCAGTGCAACGACAATACGTAGAAGAGATGATGTTGAAATATCTCTTCAAAATCCTACACCTCTCCCCAATAATGTAGTACCCGCTCATCCATCAGCTCCTACATTACAACCTACGAGGATGACCACTGCTGCTTTACGTGATCTTAAAAGACTAGCTATATCTCACCGTAACACTCTTTTGGAATCGTTAAGGCAAGTCGAACAAGCCAATGTTTTGACGACATCCGATCAAGAAGAAGACGAAGCTGATTTTTCACATTCAGATGAAGATGCATAAATTTGTTTTATTTATGCACGTTGTTTTTTATTTATGCACGGTTTTTTTTTTCTTATTTATTATCATATTAAAACTTACAATTCATCGTATTATT